ATGCAGCCCGACATTTCCAGCATTTTGGTTGTAATGACAAAGGCCACTGGAAATCAGAGTAGCAATAGTATTGATTTGGAGGTACCTTTAGATTATGATTCGAGCATATCATTCGAGATCCCGGCACGAGACGAGGAAATTTTGCCGCCCATTAACGCCAACAGTGTACTACTTGGTGGTATCCTGATAGCCACGCCATCGAAGACGCAGTATACCCAATACACAAACTTGAACTCATCGGATGCCTGCAATCCGGCCTGCAAGTCCAATAAAAATGAGATATGCACCAACATATCGGAATATGTGAATCGCTGCAAATGCCGGCTGGGATTTGCACGCATGTTCCCAGATCGACCATGCAAACGTAAGATTCTTGATTTCTATAGATATATGTATTACAGACAAAACAAACAGTTATCAATAATAAAAATAATAACAACATGTTGTTTGGTTAGTGTTATTATTTTATTATACAATATATTGTCACATAGATTACATTCCAATTCATATTCGATTGCTTATCTTCTTGGTTATAATCTTACAATGCATATATTGATTTATTTTTGTATCCACATTACAGCGACCTATACATACGAGATGCAAATCCCAATTACTAGAGTTGGCAATTACTTACTCAAATTCAGCGACGAGTTTCTAAACAATTCATCAAGCCAATATCGACACCTGAGTTCAATAATTCTCGATGCTATCGATCGAATGGTCATGCAGTCCGACTTCCGCGATGTATACTATGGTGTCCAATCGAAAGAAATCTACTCCAACAGGGATGGAGCAGTGTTGGGCTGTTTTTTGCTACAGGTTTAATTAAAAACTATATATATATATATATGTGTATATATGTGTATAAATATATAATAAATTAATTATATTTTAGTTGTCGGAGAACAGCAACGAAAAACGGTTAGAAACTGTTTTTAAAAAATACCTGCGCCAGAGTAACTACAGTATTGGAGGAACTGAGTTATATACGTCCAAGGAGGATATCAACATGCTGTCAATTGAAGGTAAATTAATATTGGTGCTTGTGCCAAAAACCAATCATTTTTATTTGACTCTTTTAACGAATCTCAAACTATCAACAAAACACATTCATCAATATATTCCAAATAAATATCTGTAATGTAAGACTTTGATTAATTTGAATTTAAATTTGAACAAATCCACGGTTAAGCTATGTTATCGATGAGTATGCATATGGAGCTCTGTTTAATGTTATATCGATACATTCCTTTGGTTTGTAATTCTGTTAAACGTACTATCGATACCAAAGGAATGTATAGATATTTTCAATAAGCAAGCGATCACTTTTTGAAAGATTGTGAAACTGTGCGGGTGTGTAAAAGAATAAAAAACCGTAATTCATAATTTATAATAAAATATATTATTTATGTAGATTTCGACGAATGCGCCCACGATGAGTTCAATGATTGTTCTACTCACGCCCACTGCTTCAATTTGGTTGGCAGCTACACCTGCAGCTGTCTCGACGGCTATGTGGACACATCGGATAACTCAATTTATCCGGGCCGTCAATGCTCGGATCATATAGTTGGCTGCGATAAGTGCAACTACCACGGCAACTGTGTTACACCGACGTTGAATAGGACTCCAGTCTGCGAATGCTTTGCTTGGCACGCTGGCGCCATGTGTCAGTTAAATTTAAAGATTCTGCTAATAAGCCTCATCGCAATAGGCACCGTATTTATCGTGTTGCTCGTCTGCGTGCTGCTGATCTATACAAGACGCCGGGTGCGGGTTGGTTCAACGTCAAGGCCCATATTTATAACGGCGTCCAATTACCATCCCAGCATGTTGACAACGTCCAGCAATAAATCGGGCATGTCCTCTGCAACTCTTATACGTAAATGCGGCAGCATGGAGAAGCATGTGATTTTAAATGACTCGAATAGCGAATCTAGTCACAATTCTGGGCCATATTCGTTCAAGGTAATAGGCATGAGAAAGAAAATAAGATCCCGTCCTGAAATTTCCGCCCACCGCACATATCATTTACCCGTCCCTTCATTCCTGTCCCGATCCCACTTCGAGTCGTGACATATTTTGTATAGAACATTTTTGGATGTTTTCTATATTTAAAAATTAGGAATCAAACCTCTGCGCAGCCGATACTGTCGAACCGGAACAATCGGATCGGTCACTTACGGTGATGATTCCGCGAGCAAAATACTATCACCCGACAGTTTTACCACTTAAGCAGCACGAGTTGACCCTGGAAAAAGTCGATAAAACTATTCTATTCAAAGGGACGCCACACTTTTATGATGGCAAACTAAAAGGAACAGCAGCAGATGCGTCTGAGCCCTTTGGCAAGGAGTATACTGCCCAAAACAGTGGCGCCCTAGTCTCTGCTGGCTTCGAGGTGTCTGCAATTGTAAGCGATCGGGCAGTTCAATCAAGCCAAACAGTCGAGTGGAAGGAGAATGGAAATGATCAGACACATCAAAAAATATCCAGAGCTAACTTAGAAGCCATTTTAAATTCCGGCGAGTAAGTTTATAACGACATTTTCCAAAAATGTCTAAATCTAATGCTATCGATTTCAGGGATATTCACAGAATGAGCTCCTGGATGTCTAATATTCCTACGAATACTATGTAAGATCCTCCATCTAAATACGTTTATATAATTAATTTCTAAATTAATTTTAACTTTTCGCAAGGGTAAGGCTCTGAAATTCCTGCTAGTATTATTATTATATTTTCTTATGGGCGGATGATATGATAGGATACTATATGAAATACTCTCTTTTAAGATCGGCTGATTTGCGTTCATTTGATGAAACGACAGTCCAGGCTGTAACCAAATCGATGCATCTTTGTTTCGACAAAGTGGAACAGAGTATTACAAATGAGGTAATAATATATATAATTATAGATAAAATGATAGCTAACATCTTAAATCTGTTTAGGAGGCGAACACAATGACAGAGCGAGATCTTGGCTCTACATTTCTGCTGCCGCATACGCACCTTTACAAGCCAGAGAAGGTATAACATTTAACACACGCAAATTCTATAACCACTAATCGATTGATTAATTATAGCTCGAGAGTGACCTGTCCGGCTTTGACTCGTTATAGGATATATATATATATTTTTCAGTCAACTCATATGATTAAATTTAGATCCTTGATACTAACTTTGTTAAAACATTTTTTATACCGACCCTATTGTAAAATAATTCACCACGAAGGCAGCATACCCATAGGTTTTCGCATTTGTTATAATCATAGTATGGGGAACAATGAAATATTTAATAGCAATTTACTCCCGGCAGCCATTCAAAATGGGTTAAAAACTTAAATAACTGCCCAAAGTATGATCTTACTTACATTTCTAATTAACCGATCCAGCTTCCATCTGTCTAAAAAAAGAATATGGTGATTTTCGGCTTAAGTTAAGTTTTAATCATTTACTATCTTCTGATTTCGTCGGAAAATTTAAATTTTTACACATAGCAAAGATTTAAAGAAAGAAGCACAGATGCATTTATAGAAATCAGTACGAATTTATGCTGCGACAGTTCGCAAACGGGGAAACAGGGTAACTACCAGTCGGGCATATCCCATGTTGTCTTTATTAGTTAATAGGGCTAGTTAGTTAACTAAAAGCATATTTTTTTCCTGGCCTTGTAAATATATAGAATGTCCATAAAAATGTATTTTAATGTAACGTTGCATTTACATATTGATTGCGTTTATCGTGTTTTTAAATTATAAATAAAATTGTGTGCCAGCAGATTATCTGTAAGTCAACCAAATTATTGCCTTATTATGCATAAAATGTATTGTAAAATATATAATGAAAGCAACATTAACTATTTATTTATCTAATAAAATATTTTAAAGAAAGCTAAGCACACACTATTTAAAATTAAACTAAGCCTGAAAAGAGTTTCAAGTTCTTGGAAACCCTTTTCTATAGAAACTAGATTAATGGTCCGGTATTTGTAAGTATACTAACTAGCTAAAGCGACTTTGTAAGCAAGTATTTTTATAATTATACTGCTGTAAATAGGTTTTGCAAAATTTTAAAAAATTTGGCAGTACTTGGGAATTTAAATTTAAAATATTTTTAGGGGTATAATAAATAAAAATAAATAGTAGGTAAAACATTTTTCCTTTTTACTATAAAAGTTCAAGATAGAAAATAAGTAGTGCGTAATATCTGAGCTGTACATGTTTATAACAATTTCTACCCTTTTGAGTGTCGGCCGAATATCCTGAAGGGGTGCAAAGTCCACAACTGGTAATTATGAGAACTAGCACTAGTCGAGGGTGTCCGACTAGCGTTTGCCCTGTATCCATCTATATTTTAGAAATAAACCTGGCAGAGGCATGTTTTATACATCTAGGTATTAAATGCTTCTGTGCGAGCGGAGCAGAAGGCATTTCTCGTGGTCAATAGGCGAAGCCTCCTTCTGCCTGTTATATAAGTTGCACACAACCTTTTAATACTCATTTGAAATGGGGGTACTGGGTAGATGAATAGGGGTTGATATAGAGTTGTGTTTGAAGCTTTTTTCGTATAAAAATGGACGGTGGTCGATGCCAACTCGTTGCCTGTCGGCTAATGCCACGAAAATATTCCCATATATTAAGGGGTTCGGGTAAATTTTTGGTTAGCCGTGCAGAGGCGTCTTCGTCGGGGGTTCAATGGGAAACGTTCAACAGTCGCCCACTCGGCAAAAATTGCTGGGTCACTGAACTTTTCTGACCACTTACGAGCAGCCGAGAATATACCTGTCCAAACGTCCCTATATGACCAATATTTCCAGCTCAGCGATACAATCCGGCAATCTCGCTCAATATAACTATAACTAGGGGTTGGCAAAGGCCCGCTGACCAGAGGTACAGAGGGTACAGGTGGAGAGGTGTGCACAGGTGTAGTGACTAGTCGCCCAGCAGTGTAATTCGAGCAGCTCGTCAAAATACACTTGTATATTATTTCTTGTACCAAATACTGGTAAAAACAAAAAAAAATTGTCGTTTCTAAAGAAAAATAGCTTATACATTTTTGGATTATATAAAATTCAACCGAGTAAAAGTAAATAAGTGATATTTGCATATGCGTACTGTAAATAAGCAAGGTCATTTTTTATATTTAAGGCTTGCGTATAAAATGATTATATACAACTCCCCGCCAAGTGTTTATCTATACAAGGGATATTTGCATAAGAATATAAGAAAATAAGCGAAGACACGCACTTATATATTATAAAAGAAGACTCGCGTATAATGTGTATTTAAATAAACTATCTTACGAACAAAAAGAATCGCAGGTTATTTAGCAATCAGTTTTCGAGTGAATTGAAAGTTTGTCTAAAATATTTGTGGTGACTAATTTAAGGAAAATATAATGAATGACTCATAGAAGTTTCCTATTTTCCTATGACGGATTTTTGGAAAGTCCCAGCGAGCTTGGAAAATCAAAATTGGACTGTACCCATATTCCTAGATATATGAAATAATAAAAATATAGCTCATTTGAATTGTGATGATTTTAAATTATTGATTTGATTTTTACAAACCACTTACTGAAAAGTTATAACAATCAGATCGACTTCAAACTAATGTTTAGATATTAATCAATTTGCATTTTATTGCTTTTGGAAAATTCAGTGTCTCCAGGTTGAGGAAACCGAAAATATGGTTGTGAAAAAAAGAAGAACGTTGCAATTTTAGCCAGTTTTCCATGTTATGGCATTTCCAAAGCTGGGTGCGTCATATTACCGGGTCCTCAGCTATCTTGCTTACTTGTAAAATGTACTCGAAGTAGAGGTTATATTTTAAATAACAAGGTGATAAATTTACATTTCGAGCATCTAAAATGTACGGTAAAATATAAGACGTACATGTATAAAATGTATGGTAAAATATAAGACGTAAATATAAAATGTACGGTAAAATGTTAAATTCTAGTTCCCCACATTTGCTTTTCAAAATGGCGTCGCCAAGCTCTTTCCAGCGCATCGTCGCCCCAGCCAGTCGCAAAGGCCTTGCCACCCTTTTGCGACGAATGACGCGTCATTCGGACCAATCACGACTTTCGAAGTTCTCTGAGCTGTAAAAAAGAGCCAATGAGAGTTTTAGTCGAGAACGTTGCCGATTAGCACAGATAACCTGTATCCAAAGCAAACACACACAAGCTCGCACACTTGGCGTCTCATCCCTATGGAAGTTAATGCCTTAAATTATATATGTGTGTGTTATTCGTGATTAATACAAATTTTCTATGGACTCTTTGTTTAGTGGGCTAGTTCATCTTAGACTGTAAACCTATATCATTTATAATTTATAGATTTTTGTTAAATATGAGCCAATTTTTAAAGGAGCTGATCAGTATTTTATAATTATTGCTCTGAAAATGTGTGGGATATGTATATTAAGCCATTAAAACACAGTATTTATTATTATTCTTATTACATTATGTAGATTAGTAAACCAAACAGAATCAAAGAAATGATTACGGCAGCAAAAAAAATGAAAGGGAGCGATGGTAAAACCGGAGGATTGCGGCATCTCGCTGGAGCGTCAGAAGTGGATGAGTCTGACGAGGAGCGCGAGCTGACAAATTTAAACTGGCTACTCAGAAACCAAAATCTATCGTGGCCAAAAACAATTGATGTGAACTCTGAGGATGATGTTAATGGCCAGGTCGGCAGCAATCGGAGCCTGTCCACGGCAGCAGCAGAAGGTGTCAATGCACAGAAGAAACCAAAGGCTTTGGAATATGATACTTTAAAGCATATGGCAAATAAATCCTGCCCGGACATAAAAAAATCAAGCACAGCAACGGCACCTTTAAAACGTCCAAGTCCAGCCGAGCGCTACGATATTTTCATCAACAAAATAAAGCGGTGAGAATAATTAATTCAAATAAAAGTAAAAACAGATAGTTAAGCCAAGAATCGCTTTCTTATTGCAGCGATTTAGTGGAATATGAAAAATCGGCCAACAAGTATAAAACGGACGTAACACACAAGCCGCCCTTTAACTACTCTCACATCATTGGAATGGCAATGCTGGAAAATGGACGAGTAACATTGCAGCAGATTTGCACATGGATTGAGGCCAAATTTGCCTTCTTTCGCGTGCGTAAAAAATGGAACGTAAGTCTGCATTTTTCAGCCTTAATCTATGGCTATGATCCTGTTCACGAAATACTCTGTTTTGAGTGTTGTTGCAGATTAACAAAGAGATCGGCGGTCGAGAATTGCGGGATTATTTCACTATACCGAAATAACAGTCTAGTCTCAAAATATAAAGATATGCTTCAGATATGTATGTCGGTCGAAAATTAAGTTGTATGGAAAACTTTTTTGTTTAATAAGACATCTTTGCCAAACTCGGCATTTATTAGTTTTACTATGCTCCTTATATATTTGCAAAATCCTATCAACATTGAACCACTATATCATATAGCTGCCATAGGAACGATCGGTCGAAAATTAAGTTGTTGTATGAAAAACTTGTTTTTTTTTCAAGATATCTTGACCAAACTCTGCATTTATAAATTTCACTATTTTCCCTACATTTATGCAAAATCTTATTTACATCGGACCACTATATCATATAGCTGACATAGGAACGATCGGTCGAAAAGTAGGATGTTGTATGGCAAAATATTAATAAATGAAATGTATTTATTATTTTAGAATTCCATCAGGCACAACCTGTCGCTGCACCATTGTTTTCGCAATCTCAAACGCGAGGAAAAGGGCAAGGGAGGCTATTGGGAGCTGGGAGTGGATCCCAAGAAATGTGATAGAAAACGCATTCGCAATCGCAAAACGACCCAATCGAAGTTAAACCCAGCTTCGGATTTGTCCAAAAATCAAAGTCCATTGTCAAAATATCAATTCGCCGACAATGCAATAAGATCCCACATGACTCAGGACTCACATACGCCGGATGAGAAGCCCAAAAATTCCCGGCTTGATAGTTCCGACAATAACATGGCCGAGCAGGATATGCAATTGGATTGCCTAACCCTAACGGAGGTGGAGGTTGGCTTGGGGCTGACATTACCAAATGTTCTGAGTCCTCGGGCGCACGATCCTGACGCCACTTTCTTATACCCGGATACATTTGCGGCTACCCTGACCACAAACAACGAAGCCTTTCATCTGCAGCAGCAATACGAGCTGGGCACCATTATAATTAGCACGACGGGCATCCTGGAGGAACCTTCTTGCCTGAATAGCCTCATCAGCAACAAGTTCGGCTGCTCTAATATGGTAAGGATCCTGGATGGGCTTTAAAAAAAAAATTATCAAGCAATTCGAACAATAATTTTAGATCTACACGGAGGATGAGATTCCCACAACAAGTAAGAATGTCATCATTTCGTCGCATAAAATGGATGCCAATAAAGATGCGAATGTGGCATTGATTGCCAGCCCTGAGATGCCCATCCCTGGTAGCTTTACCATCAATTGCGATTACTCAAATTTTCGACCATTTATGGACAGCGTCGATGAGCCCTACGGTTATCTCCAGAGCAGTGAGATAAATCGGAATGAGGACATTTTGGATAACCTGCTCGACGTGTGTGTTAGAGATTATTAATATTGACAATATCGCCAAATTAAAGTGCACGTTAAACTCAAACTAAAGCTAATCCTATAATTTATAGTTAATCTTATTACTAAAAGCAATTTACCACAGTTTTCCGGGTCAAGTTTTATTATATGGAAAATGTGGATGGTACCGCGAGTTTATATCAAATGGTAGGTTAAAAAATGTTTGCTTTTTGGAAAAAACAAATCAAAAACAAGTAAGAGGTTCTAGTCGGGAGCTCCCGACTAGGGGATACCATGAACCCTCTTCTTTCAACATCAAATATATATACAACATCAAATATTCTATTTAAGAAGCTATTCTATTTAAGAAGCTATTCTATTTAAGAAGCTATATGTCAAGTTTGGTGACTCTAGCTCCTATTATTTACCAAAATTGCCCAAAAAACAGGATATCGATATCGACTTTTATCGATTGCTTGGAAACGAAGCAAGTTATCGATTATTGGAAACAAACTCGATCTGCGCGGGAACTAGGAGCATCTACATCTAAAATTTCTCTAGCTCTTATAGGTTCTGAGATCCTTGCGTTCATACATACGGACGGACGGACAGACAGACGGACATGGCTAGATCGACTCGGCTATTGATGCTGATCAAGAATATATATACTTTATGGGGTCGGAGATGCTTCCTTCTGCCTGTTACATACATTTGGAATTCGCACAAATACAATATACCCTTATACCCATTTTTAATGGGTTCAGGGTATAAAAAGAACTAAAATAGCATTACAGAAAAAAGTCGCAATTACCATGCTGTTAGAATGCGAAGCAGATGCTCATGAATGTATCACAGAAATTCTTGAGTCATTCGCTAGCTGCCCCATCCAATTGCGCAGTTACATGTAACTTTAGTTTTTTCTTAACCGATCTTTATGAAATTTTCTTCGGTATATCTTTTTGTACCATAGAATATATGTGTATTCTCAAAAAATGTCAATTGCATTGAAATTGTGGCTTAAATTGGTTGGCAATACAAGTTGGGTTTTGAACTTGATTTATAGCTCTAGAGTGGTAGCGAGGATTTGGCGATAGATATAAAATGAAAAATAAGAGGTTACACAAAACTCATTACAAAATTTATTTTCTCTTGTTGATTGACAGAAATATCAGACTTGAAATGCATAAAAAGCATTCGTGTAGCTGTTAAAAAACACATTAAACGTAGTTAAATCAAAGTAAAATATGGCTTTAAGTGCATTTTATAGTAATTCATGTATTTTTTTTATGTACATTTATCTTAACACGAATATTTATCGAGTCGAGAATGTCCGACTCGCAGTTAGCCTGAACGCAGCTCTGCAAAGTATGTTGGAAAATTATTATAATTAAATATAAAACATTTGGTTAATTAGTTTAGCTCTCGTACATCAAGAACTTCCAAATGAGTCTTTTTTTTCAAAATCTATATATTTTATAAAAACTTTAGTTTGGACCTGTATTTTTTTAATTATTCGCCAAATTACCTGCTTTCCGTTGCAGGAAATCGAAAACTATATAGATTTAGCCATGAGTCCGACCCATTTGGAACTCTCTATCTACACAATCTAAGCTAAACAATAATCCATAAAAAAATAGCCTCATCTGATTCTTTATTTTTTCTAATATTGGGGCGAGTCGAGGAATGTACCCAAAAGCTGAAATACCTTTGAAAAAAAAGATATGCTAAAAAAACAAGCTTGAAAATCGATTGTTATCGATTCTATGAAATTAGGAAAAAAGACTTGTTTTGGATCTTGTTTCAGGATTTCAAGACTTCAGTATTTGAAGCTCCTAGGCCTTTTGGTCTCTGAGATCTTGGAGCATCAGACAGGAAGACAGTCAGACAGTCGGACTATGGGACACGGCTCAATTGACTATACTATATATATATATTATTTAAGGTGGGGTGAAATATACCTATGCACAACTGCAATATACGATATATTAAACATATAAATTATTTACTGGGCATGTTGTAAAATAAATCAGTTACATGCTAAAATAAGTTGTAGAATTAAGATTCGAACTCTCTTGTTCCTCTGTAAATTATATTGTATAAGGACGATTCTATGAGCAGGCACATTCTAGGACCTGCATATCGCTCCAGGTTGATATTTTTAGCTTGTCGCTGTGCTCCTCATCCACGTGCAAGATCTCCAGTTCCGTTAGCTTGGAAGGCGCACAGCAGGGTCGCGGAGCACGATTGTGATCCTTTTGCCAGATGAGGCTCTGCAGGAGGGCATGGTGATGGGCGGGATTATGCCTGGGCGGGCAGCGACCCCGGCAGTAGCCGGCATCGAATACTTTTGGCTGAATGATGAATTCGAATCCCTTGATGTCCTTGAAGGCCACATCCAACTGGTGTCGGCAGCAACGTTGATGCGTTTTATAGCAACTATTTGGCCACTTCTTAACCTGATTCCTGTTGTTGTTGTTGTGATGATAGAACTGAGAACTGCTGTGATTATTGGCCAAGCCAAAAGATTGGACTCCCTGCTCACGGTGCGTGCGGCCAATGTGTCCTATAATATTCAAAACCGGCGCCAAATGAAACCGATCATCATCCTCCTCCGCCTTCTCATTCAATAAATGAGATGTGGGCGTGGCAACATCGCTCAGAATGCGAGCACCGAGTAGGATGTTGTATGGCAAAATATTAATAAATGAAATGTATTTATTATTTTAGAATTCCATCAGGCACAACCTGTCGCTGCACCATTGTTTTCGCAATCTCAAACGCGAGGAGAAGGGCAAGGGAGGCTATTGGGAGCTGGGAGTGGATCCCAAGAAATGTGATAGAAAACGCATTCGCAATCGCAAAACGACCCAATCGAAGTTAAACCCAGCTTCGGATTTGTCCAAAAATCAAAGTCCATTGTCAAAATATCAATTCGCCGACAATGCAATAAGATCCCACATGACTCAGGACTCACATACGCCGGATGAGAAGCCCAAAAATTCCCGGCTTGATAGTTCCGACAATAACATGGCCGAGCAGGATATGCAATTGGATTGCCTAACCCTAACGGAGGTGGAGGTTGGCTTGGGGCTGACATTACCAAATGTTCTGAGTCCTCGGGCGCACGATCCTGACGCCACTTTCTTATACCCGGATACATTTGCGGCTACCCTGACCACAAACAACGAAGCCTTTCATCTGCAGCAGCAATACGAGCTGGGCACCATTATAATTAGCACGACGGGCATCCTGGAGGAACCTTCTTGCCTGAATAGCCTCATCAGCAACAAGTTCGGCTGCTCTAATATGGTAAGGATCCTGGATGGGCTTTAAAAAAAAAATTATCAAGCAATTCGAACAATAATTTTAGATCTACACGGAGGATGAGATTCCCACAACAAGTAAGAATGTCATCATTTCGTCGCATAAAATGGATGCCAATAAAGATGCGAATGTGGCATTGATTGCCAGCCCTGAGATGCCCATCCCTGGTAGCTTTACCATCAATTGCGATTACTCAAATTTTCGACCATTTATGGACAGCGTCGATGAGCCCTACGGTTATCTCCAGAGCAGTGAGATAAATCGGAATGAGGACATTTTGGATAACCTGCTCGACGTGTGTGTTAGAGATTATTAATATTGACAATATCGCCAAATTAAAGTGCACGTTAAACTCAAACTAAAGCTAATCCTATAATTTATAATTAATCTTATTACTAAAAGCAATTTACCACAGTTTTCCGGGTCAAGTTTTATTATATGGAAAATGTGGATGGTACCGCGAGTTTATATCAAATGGTAGGTTAAAAAATGTTTGCTTTTTGGAAAAAACAAATCAAAAACAAGTAAGAGGTTCTAGTCGGGAGCTCCCGACTAGGGGATACCATGAACCCTCTTCTTTCAACATCAAATATATATATACAACATCAAATATTCTATTTAAGAAGCTATTCTATTTAAGAAGCTATATGTCAAGTTTGGTGACTCTAGCTCCTATTATTTACCAAAATTGCCCAAAAAACAGGATATCGATATCGACTTTTATCGATTGCTTGGAAACGAAGCAAGTTATCGATTATTGGAAACAAACTCGATCTGCGCGGGAACTAGGAGCATCTACATCTAAAATTTCTCTAGCTCTTATAGGTTCTGAGATCCTTGCGTTCATACATACGGACGGACGGACAGACAGACGGACATGGCTAGATCGACTCGGCTATTGATGCTGATCAAGAATATATATACTTTATGGGGTCGGATATGCTTCCTTCTGCCTGTTACATACATTTGGAATTCGCACAAATACAATATACCCTTATACCCATTTTTAATGGGTTCAGGGTATAAAAAGAACTAAAATAGCATTACAGAAAAAAGTCGCAATTACCATGCTGTTAGAATGCGAAGCAGATGCTCATGAATGTAACACAGAAATTCTTGAGTCATTCGCTAGCTGCCCCATCCAATTGCGCAGTTACATGTAACTTTAGTTTTTTCTTAACCGATCTTTATGAAATTTTCTTCGGTATATCTTTTTGTACCATAGAATATATGTGTATTCTCAAAAAATGTCAATTGCATTGAAATTGTGGCTTAAATTGGTTGGCAATACAAGTTGGGTTTTGAACTTGATTTATAGCTCTAGAGTGGTAGCGAGGATTTGGCGATAGATATAAAATGAAAAATAAGAGGTTACACAAAACTCATTACAAAATTTATTTTCTCTTGTTGATTGACAGAAATATCAGACTTGAAATGCATAAAAAGCATTCGTGTAGCTGTTAAAAACACATGAAACGTAGTTAAATCAAAGTAAAATATGGCTTTAAGTGCATTTTATAGTAATTCATGTATTTTTTTTATGTACATTTATCTTAACACGAATATTTATCGAGTCGAGAATGTCCGACTCGCAGTTAGCCTGAACGCAGCTCTGCAAAGTATGTTGGAAAATTATTATAATTAAATATAAAACATTTGGTTAATTAGTTTAGCTCTCGTACATCAAGAACTTCCAAATGAGTCTTTTTTTTTCAAAATCTATATATTTTATAAAAACTTTAGTTTGGACCTGTATTTTTTTAATTATTCGACAAATTACCTGCTTTCCGTTGCAGGAAATCGAAAACTATATAGATTTAGCCATGAGTCCGACCCATTTGGAACTCTCTATCTACACAATCTAAGCTAAACAATAATCCATAAAAAAATAGCCTCATCTGATTCTTTATTTTTTCTAATATTGGGGCGAGTCGAGGAATGTACCCAAAAGCTGAAATACCTTTGAAAAAAAAGATATGCTAAAAAAACAAGCTTGAAAATCGATTGTTATCGATTCTATGAAATTAGGAAAAAAGACTTGTTTTGGATCTTGTTTCAGGATTTCAAGACTTCAGTATTTGAAGCTCCTAGGCCTTTTGGTCTCTGAGATCTTGGAGCATCAGACAGGAAGACAGTCAGACAGTCGGACTATGGGACACGGCTCAATTGACTATACTATATATATATATTATTTAAGGTGGGGTGAAATATACCTATGCACAACTGCAATATACGATATATTAAACATATAAATTATTTACTGGGCATGTTGTAAAATAAATCAGTTACATGCTAAAATAAGTTGTAGAATTAAGATTCGAACTCTATTGTTCCTCTGTAAATTATATTGTATAAGGACGATTCTATGAGCAGGCACATTCTAGGACCTGCATATCGCTCCAGGTTGATATTTTTAGCTTGTCGCTGTGCTCCTCATCCACGTGCAAGATCTCCAGTTCCGTTAGCTTGGAAGGCGCACAGCAGGGTCGCGGAGCACGATTGTGATCCTTTTGCCAGATGAGGCTCTGCAGGAGGGCATGGTGATGGGCGGGATTATGCCTGGGCGGGCAGCGACCCCGGCAGTAGCCGGCATCGAATACTTTTGGCTGAATGATGAATTCGAATCCCTTGATGTCCTTGAAGGCCACATCCAACTGGTGTCGGCAGCAACGTTGATGCGTTTTATAGCAACTATTTGGCCACTTCTTAACCTGATTCCTGTTGTTGTTGTTGTGATGATAGAACTGAGAACTGCTGTGATTATTGGCCAAGCCAAAAGATTGGACTCCCTGCTCACGGTGCGTGCGGCCAATGTGTCCTATAATATTCAAAACCGGCGCCAAATGAAACCGATCATCATCCTCCTCCGCCTTCTCATTCAATAAATGAGATGTGGGCGTGGCAACATCGCTCAGAATGCGAGCACCGATCCGCCGGCACTTATCGCAGTGAATCTCGATGCCCAGATTCTCGTGGCTCTTGTTTAGCCAGCCCCGCACCGCATCGGTTACATCGAACTCCAGCCACTGACTGCGGGTCTCCTCATTCCGGCTGCCGAAATTCGGATTCTCGAATTCAATTCGACGCGCATCCAATTGACGGCGCTTGTGCATTGGCAGCAGCTGGTAAACCTTCAGGTTTAATATGTGGCTCCGGATTTTGGGCCTGGGTCTGCTTAGACTGGGCGGATGATGCGCCTCGACCGTATCGCAGCTGCCTTTGCTCCTCATCGGATTATGTTTGTTGCTCGTCTCCAATCTGGTTCTGTGCTGGGATTGGGCCGCCAGCGCCGGATTGTAGAGCATCATTAGCCTGACATTTGCCTCGTCCAGTTTCTCGCAATGGAAGTCGGCATTGCTGATGGCCAAAGGAAAATGCAGCTGAATGTTTGTCCCAAACTCATTTCCCCTTTTAAACGTTTTTCTTTCCCTATTCTTCGCAGTGCTCGGTGCACGTCTCTGGCGGATGCGCCTTTGGGTTATGTCGTTAAACCTATTTGTTACAATGCTTAAAATCTGAAGTGTTGTCGCTGGAGGTCCTGAGGAAAGAAAGAGGCTGTCCATGGCGTTCTTCACTCCATGGTTTTTCCTTAAGCGTTCCAAGTATTCCAAGTATTTGCTAGAGTATTCTAATTGGCTTATGTTTGCCTGCAATTAGAATTATTTTTAGAAAATGTTAATCATTTTAAAGATCTGTAAATCAAAATTTTTAGTTCGTCTGCCTGCTGGGTTTATTTCTGTTCGCCTGGTACTTCAGCCGAATTTTTGTTAAAATCTGGCACCCATTTGCTCCTCCGAACGCCCCGTTTGGGTATGCAATGAAATTGTTCATTCATCGAAATTTTAGTCTGCCTGCTGGGCATTTCTGTTCGCCTGGTATTTTTGCCAAATTTTCGTTAAAATCGAAGTCCCTTGGGCAGCAGCAGCTGTTAACAGTGGTATTTTAAGTAGCAGCTGATTAACAGTGAATTAACTTTAAATGCTGCTAATTAACAGTCGACTGTTAATAAACAATTTTTCTTACATTTGTCTGTGCATCTACCTGTTGGGCATTTCTGTACGCCTGGTACTTCAACAGAATTTTTACGCAATGGGGAAATTTTCGATCGTTAATTTTTAACCCTTAATTTAATTGTAGATAAAGTTTTTGAGAGAATTTAACTTGGATTTGGAACTATAGGATCACCAGGACTATGTCTATGGTATGTTAAAGAGGGAGGAGGGAAGGCTGTAGGTTCACCGGGACTCAATCAATAGTATTTTGAAACCCAGGATATTATGGCTTCATTATTTGCTTAATAATGCATTCTTCGCCACAGCTCAGACATTTTGCACGAATAAATGAATGCTTCTTAGAAACTTCAAATGGAAAATTCTCAAGATCTGAAAAATGAACCATATTGAGAAGAGATATTTGAAATATAACATGTTTTTGATGCTTTAAATAGCTGTGTGTCTTAGTATATGAAGTCCTTTCCAGGAATGGTAAGGAGTTTTAAATCGTGAAGTCAATTTTTTCATTTTGTAACTCATATTAAGGTATTGACTGTCATGACATTCTGTTTTTAAGAGATTTATTATTGAAAGATTGCAATTTGTTGTAGCAATTAGTTCTCACCTTTTTCATATCCGGTAATTTTTTTAATCCAAGTCCCTTCATAATTAGTTTGGTAAGTTTTTCTTTGTTAATAATTCTGTTGTACATATGGTGATTCTCTTTGTATTTATCAAAAGCGACTTCTAATTTTTGGCTTTCAGCATCCGGTTTACGTTTAATCTCACGAGCTAGCGCGGTTTTGTCAATCTCACGAGCTTGCTCGTTTTTGGCAATATGAACATTTCGCTTGGTACGGCGGATTAAGGATCCGTTTGCCATCACGGCTGACTTTGGTGCATCTAGGCTTCTATTTAAGCTTTTCTTATCAGAGTTTCGATTATTATCAGATTGACTTAGAATTATTACACTATATCCGCGTAAACGGTGATTAGCTGAATAAATGCGACTCTTGCTTTTGATTTTTAATATACTATTGACTTTATTGTGGTAACTTCTGTTGTCCTCGAGCCTCATTTGGCAATCCTTTTTTGATTTAGCTCCTCGCAGCTGCACATGGCTGGGACCTAGTTGGGCCCGGAATATGTTGTGATCGAGCTCTAGATTGGAATTCGAAATTGGCATCGATATGGGGACCATGACAACATCCTGACCGCTAACTTGTTGTATCAGCGTGTTGCAGGTAAGCAGATATGGCAATAACAACAGTATGACGAAACATAGCTGCGTTAATTTATGCAAAATATAGCTAAAGAATATTGTGGCCAGGCGCTGATTTCTTTCAGCTCTTCTCA